ATGTAAATAAAAACTAAATTACAGTAGTCTTAAATGTGATGAACGTGTGTATTGAAATTAATGAACACATTATTATAGAAATTAATTTACACGTTAATGAAAAGTACGAGATCTGTAACTGAAAAGTAATTTACGTTAATGACATGTAAGAAATGTAAACGTATTAAACGTTAAGCGTTAATAGTATTAGGCTTAATTAAAATATTATTAATATTCGTAAATGTAAAAGTACATTAAATTTCAATACGCTTAACTTAAAAGTCTTAAGCAAACTTAAATTTCATTAATATGTATATTCGTAGTTATTTCAATTACGATTAATTAAATGTCATTTATATCCGTAAATGAAAAGTATATTAAATTTCATTACACTTAATTTTTCAGTTACTGTAAACTTAAATCTTATTAACATGTGCATTAATAGTCCTTTCAGTTACAGAGAAATTAAACTTCATTCACCAATGTACATTAAAAGTTAATGAAATTTAAGAACATTTCTAACAGTGCACTCCATTGTATTCTTGGAGATATTTCTTGGATAAAGTTATCTAGAGATGAAGAAATTAGGCATAAGTAAATGTTTAGACTTAGAACCTCTCTCACCAACCTCTGATTAAGTTAATCGACGATTAACTCGCACAAGTGCCAACAGAATTAACTTCTGCTCTTTCGTTCTCCTTTGAGACAAATTGTGTTTAATTCTCACGTTGGCAATCGTAATGATTGAATTAATCATCGATGAATTAATTGAAGCTGGTAAAAGAGACCTTTAGTACTATTATTCAAAAAAACATGTATTAAGATTTAGTAATACTTTTTGCAACGTAGATTTTATTTTTTATCTCACTTCGCACATCAGCATAAGTCAACGTAACTCGCGATCGAATTAATTTTCATAATAAATAAAAATTCGTGAGTACTTCCACGAGTTCTTGATTCAGCGTATATAAGTACGTAGAAGAAATTGAACGGATGAATACGTCGAGTCGATAATAACTAGAGACAACGGAAATTGTGCTTTCTCTAAAAACACAAGTACAGTGAAATGCGGACGAGTGTTTCTCTCTAATCACTTTCGCTCCCTCTTCTTCTCATTGTCGCGGGTGTGAAATCTTACGATGAATCATTCTGATAAGAGAGACAAACAGACGAGCGATTGTTGATGTAAAAACACGACACTATAATTAGTTAGACTTGTTTTCAATCTAGGCAAAAATTAAAAACTCTGTAAAAAAATCTCTCTCTCAATTTATATATATACATAATACAAAACTAACAGTTCTAAAATCAATAATAATAATCGAAATAAAAATCAGTATATATATGACTAATATGACTGGACATTGATACTATCCAAACAATCATAAAAGAAAAATAAACAGATTTACTAAATCAAATTAAATAACAAACAAAAATACAAATGAGAAAGAGAAATAATATGCAATCTAAGCAAGAAAAAATAATGTATGTAAATTAATATATACAGTAGCATAATCGTAATTAATCATACATATATTCGTATTAAACTACATTCTAAAACATAAAAAAATGCAGCAATTTAACTTGGCGCCACAATTGTTGATGTCAAATCTTTTATACAGATGATATATAATAGCATTAGATTTAGTAAAAATTAACAGAATTTAACTTGGCGCCACAATTGTTGATATCAAATCTTTTATACAGATGATACATATATCATTAGATTTAGTAAAAACATTAACAGAATTTAACTTGGCGCCACAATTGTTGATATTAAATCTTTTATACTTATACAAATGATACATATCATTAGTTCTACTAAATAGCAAACATGATTAGTTATCAGTTTTACGGCCGATTAAGTAATTGGCGCTGATGAAACTGGCCCAAATGGTGATTCTGTATGATATTCATATTTCTTAATATGATTCTGACTTTTTTTATTAATGTGCTTCTTATTTATATTATTTTTCTAAGTATTATATTCTTATCCTTCTTATTTGCATTCATGCTTTACTACTATATACTACCATGTTATTATTACTAGCAGCGCCAAGTG